AATAGTTTTCATTTCATTAATTCACTAGTTATCGAATTGTTAAATAAACAAAATAATATGAATATTTCATAGACCTCACGTATTATAACAATAAATATAAATATGTTCAGCTTCGTGACACAACTCTTACCATTACGCTACGACGACCGCTACTGTACTAATACCAAAATCAAACTTTTCTTCACATATCTAATCAGTTACATAAAAGAGAGATCAAGTCACAAGTACCTAATACTATTGCACACACGTGAAAATATGAATTTGTCATAAGTATAACAAATGTGAAAGTTTGTAAGATTTTCAGGATTTTAATCAGATTTCCAATGTCACGACGTCATGGGTGAACATAATTATAATTATTTACTTATAAGATACTATAATTTATTCATCATAATAATGTAACTATTTAAATGGAAATATATATACCTATTTTGGGAGCATTTTAACCATAGTTTATTATAATATTTCTCGGTAGTTACATCGGAATAGATCAGATTATAATTTTCAACGAAAGAATATACATACTCAACATCTCATAGAATCAATAAAATTTAGTCAAAATATCAGAAGAATCAAAATCGATTCTGCAGCATTTCGTAATGCAGTTCTATTGACTCAATTGCAATATGAATCAATTTTCGAATAAGAAATACTTTACTACGTCTGAATTGCACTGAATTTGTACCTTTGCGTATAAAAGACATCAACGCACATCTTAATAAATGTTATCAGCATATTATGGGAAGGTCTAACATTAATTTCGATACATATTTACAATAAAGGTAAATCAATTTGTCAATACAATAATGGTTAATCAATTCGTCTGTTAAACTTTATTTTTTTGATTTCACTGCATACTAAGTAAATAAATATTATCATACCAAAACCGAATGTCATAATAGGAAATTATACCTGAATAAAATTGTACTATATATATAAGGATTAATACAATAATGTTTTAACATATTGATTTTGTACATAATAAACGGATTTATCCCTGTCTTCTTATAATGAAATAAAGCGCAATAAATACCTACCGAGTGAACACTTTTTGCTCAGTGATCACGTAAGCGTGATGAACTCATGCATAATTATTTTATGTTTTTAAAATTACTGACTAGCCATAACGTCTTTAGTTAAGGTTAAGGTGTCCGTATAATTAACGTAAAAGGTTACATACTTAAAATAGTTTGGTTTATTACTATTTGGAAATAGTCTCATGTATTATTAAGCAGTATTTGATATGAAGATTATATATATAATCAACAAATTATTTTATTACCTTTATTGTTTTGTAATCCTATTTTTACTCACTGACTGTTGCTTTCTATCAAACAAATTCGATAATCAAGCAGTTTAGCGCGCCGCGGCTGCTTTACTTCTGATGGTCGTGAGTTGGATTCTTCGCACGATGGAAACACAAAACATTTGTATTTATGAGTATGATTGATTGCATCGGCCTTGGTGTTTTCTATATATAATATATGTATGTATTCAACAAAACTCAAATAAGGAATACTTCCTATCAGTTGTTTAATACACAAGCTCTAGACAGCTTTGAATTAGATTGCTCAGTGTGAATAATAATCTTGGGTTATTATTATTAGATAGAATTTTCTGAAACAGTTTACTAGATACTAGTTATTTCATGAGTTTATTCATTACAATCAAACAAAAAACATTTATTCAATAATATTTCCTTTTGTTACAATATTAAATATTCTATACTTGTATGTTACGAAAATTAACGCCCAACAAAATCATTTACGGAATAAATCTGTAATGTAAACTTGTATATATTATAATAAACCTGCTAACAGTTGTATAACATATTTCCATATAAAAAGGCGTAACACATAATTTATCTGGTCTCGCTCAAACCGCGACGACGAATATAGAAAGGTGATTATAAAAAAAAATGACTCCACAGAGGAACATATATAACGTAACTTGAATTATCCTGTTTTACGAGGAAAATACAATTTTTAAATGTGTAAGTTTATATCGAGCGCACGCCACTTTTATAATATTAAATTATAAAAGTTATTTTCAATATAAATTTACTAGTTGTTTTCCAAAACTTAGTCTGTACAAATTTACATCCCCTAAAACTAAATTAGATATTAGGTTTCTTGTGACTATTTTTAAATGTAAGTAAAGAATAAATTACGCCAGTTCTAACTGAACTAAAGCGTTTTTATTTTAACAAACACTCGAGTATCTGTTTTTAACAGATTTTCCTCATTTTGTAATAATTTAAAAGAGTGTCTGTTAGGTTATATTTTTACTAGATACAACATTTTTTAATTAATTAGAACGACAAACAAGCTGAATGAAGCTGAATACCCGATAGTAAATAGTAATACGTCGCATATAACACGTTAAGTGTTATATGCGACGTATTACTATTTACTATATATATATCTCTCGCATATGAACAGTACTATAAACATCATGTGAACCCCATAATAGCACTCGAGCGTTGCCATTGCGCAGGTCTAAAATCCTCGTATCCCGTAATTTCATTGTCTTCTTTCAGAATTCAACCAAATAGATATAAGTTGCAAAGAAAGCGCTTGACTTGAAATAGGCGAGACTTAGGTACCCAATAAGAACGTTTTACAAAAACAAATACTAACTCGGTATAAATAAACCGAAACTAATATAATTATAATAATAATATTTCAGGACAGACAATTTACACAGCGCCATCTAGTCCTAAGCTAAGCAGAGCCTGTTTTACAGTTACAAGACAACTGATATAAATACATATATACTTTTTTGTAAATACATACTTAATATATGTAGAAAATACCCAGCTCGATACAAACAATATGATTGTTTCATGAAATGAAACATGTTTGAACCGTATGAAAAATCGAACCCGTGACCATCAAACGTAAAGCGGTGTGCTAAACCGCTAGACTACCGAGGTCTTCGATCAGTTCATATTTAAAACCTTTTTTTAAATGGAATATCGTTAACATAAGATTTACCGGTATACTCAAATACAAGTTAATTAAGCATGTAATTAATGTTGACTACGATAGCTAAGTTTCTTAGCTAATATGCTAACAATTGGTCTATCTCAATCTGGCGCTGTCTTAGATCTTATCAATCAAGTGTCACAATATGCCACCGTCATGTGAACTAAGTAATTACTTGTTTAACTTTAAGTATTTTTTAAGAACATATAAGTTCTTGCGTTCTAGATGTTGTAATCATTTTAAGCTTGCAAGTATAGATGTTGATGCTATAATTGCTATTATTTATTAAATAATATATCTACTAGCGTCCTAATGCGTTCAGTGTATATAAAGATTTCACCTTATTTAAAAATAATTTCTAAGCAAATTTCTATAAGAGACAGAATTATTATTAAAACAGGTAATATTTTTATATTTATACCTAGAATAGGCTAGGAATAGAAACTTTTTACTGTTTTATGGAAACGAGACATTTACCATGATAATTAAGAGTACCCGATATAGAGTACATATCTCAGTAAAAAATAACTTATTTAATTGAGAAGTATAAAAACATCTGTGAATAAAATAAATAATTTTTATTCAATTAATTTTGACAGCACTATCTATTCGATAATGCACCGGGCGGCAAAATATTTAATATTTATTTGTAAGTTTCATTTCGAAATTTCGCTTAGAAAAGGAATTCGAGTTATTTCCGCTCCTAGACAGATTATAATCATCAATTCGCATATTATAGCGCTTAATTTGTTCGCGTCGGTTAGATCTAAGTGAATCACTTAGTGAAATCCGTAGTGGTGTATGACTAGAATAAGACCACATTATATAAAAAATACTAAATGGTACTTCATATTGTAATTCGTACACTATTAAATTGTGTAGAATAATTTAACACCAAACCCCAATCGCATTTCCCACTTATTTTTTTAACCAACATTGATTTCTGCCTATTAACTCTTTGTACTGGATTTTATTTACTTATCTAACTTAAATAAAATGAAATAAAAAAAAAAATCTGTTTCTGGCTCCGAAAAAAATGGGTTATGGTTTTTAAGGAATTTAAAGTTCTAATTTTGAATCTTAGCGTGTAGCTAATGGCTATTACGATTGATCGCAAACAAACATGTAAGTGTAAATTAGGAATTAACGATTTTGTGACATAGTAATGACATCTCCTGTTCTCGTCTATGTAAAATAAAAATTGATCTAGTGATGAAAATGCTGAAGAGTTGAAGATAATCTTAAAATGTTTATATCAGCTACCTCGTGCTTGAACTCGTTCATTGTGCACAACGCACCTCTTTGTTTATTATTTATGTATTTTGTCTATTATTTTATACAGAAAAATATATATGACATTTGTCATTTCTTGTTCTGCTAATTATTATACTTTTGTACATAATATTATATTATTGCTTCCTAAAATCCATGTTTGCATAATTATATCTACCAGCCCCATATATATAGTCCTTCGTTCAGTTATTTTGGAAGTTGTACTCGTACATACATTGTAGGTATAAGCAATCAAATATCATACTTTCATAGGCACACGTTCAAAGTGATAATTCTTCTCTAAACGATCAGTTGACGTTCACTTCGGTAAGTCAGATAAGTCTATTATGTAGTAGGCAACAGGGCGACAATTAAGAAAGTACACATTACTATATTACTGACTGGCATAGCAATAGTTTCGTTCTATACAAACTCAATAGCATTTATAAAGTTTAAAGTATAAACGCATGTCTACAAAGTTGAAATATCAAATAAAATAAATACTCAATTCCTGTATATTGTTTTTCACCAGGCTGAATTTGTAATGTGAGGAATTTATTGGTAGAAAATCTGTAGTAAAACCATGACCCTATATCTACCAACGCTCATTCAAATTCGTTATTCCTACCATATCTGACAGATTTATAGTATCAAACAATGCTACTGAAGGAATACGAAAATATTAAGCTAATAAGAACATATCTTCTTCATCAATATTTTACTTTAAAACTTATATCTCACCTCAGGTGGAGCAGCAAACTTCAGATTAGCGAGAGATCCATGCGACCGACTTCTGTGTTCTTGTCTTATGCTGTATGAAAATGCTCGCTCATTCAGATGACCTTTTTTTCTGTATATACCGCCTGCGTCATCCACCGCCTCTAGTCCTGTCATACTCTGAGCAGCTTTCATAGCCGGTGGCGGAGGTTTTGAGCGTCTAGGATCAACTGTGGCATATTGTAATCGGCCCCTCGCTTGAGGGGGTCCTCCCATGTACGGACCTGGAGGCAAAGCAGCCGGCACACGACCCCTATGTCCTAACGTAGCAGGTCGAGCATGCGGCAGTGTCGCTGCTGGGTGTGCCACTAACACCATGGGATGTGCAGCCGCCCATGCTGGAGGCGCACGCCCCAAAGACCTGCCATTCATTACCGGCGCCGGCCCGGGCATAGTTGCATACAATTCATCGGCCGATGCAGATGACTTTTTCTTTATTTTCTTTGTAGTCGATTTCTTTTTGGGTTCCTCGGGCGGAGGCGGAGGCGGAGGCACAGACGCGGGCCGTGTGATCTGTCGAGGTCGCGGTGCTCGCGTAGGGTGCGGAATGTCGTCGCTTGCATCGTCACGTTCGACCTCTCCGACCCACACTTTATGATTTTCGTCGCCGTCGAAAACTTCAAGCTCCTCTTCGTGTTCGGGGGGTAGTTGCGATGGCGCCCGCTCTGCCTCCAAACGTTTCGCATATGAACTATCGGCGTAAGCATGAAAACAACATCGGACTAGTGCGTTGGCAGCCGCCTCACGGCGACATATAAAGGCGTGACATTCCAGTACCTTTATACCTTGAGTACGTCGTAAAACAGCCGCGAATAAAGGAGGACGTCGCGGGGCAGGCGCTCGAGCAAACGGTGAATCCAAGGGTAAAAATCTAGGCGCACCCTCTACGGTCACTCGACGAACAGCCGCGCAATAATGTAAACTTGATATAGGAAAAAACCTCGCCACTCTAGACCCGCTCTCATCAACATTTTCCAACAAGATGCCGTTCGACCAGACGGAGAGCCACGAGTCTATCCCGCCGGTGGTTGCTCCCTTTTCCGGATATAACTCACGTAAAGGTTCCTGAATACCTTGTAAGCCATCCTTGCTCTGTTGTGGCACTGCGGAGCCTAGATATAAGACACGGCACCTACAAATCGGAGTCGACTCCATTTCGTCACTGCACTGTCACAACATGTCACTAAATCACATGAAAACACTTATTTAGTTGGATGATATTGATTCAATCGTAAGGTACGTGCGGTGGCCGCGAGACGGGCGCGGGTCTGAGTGAGCGGAATTCAAGATGGCGCTTGAGGGGCATTGCGGGGAAGGCGGGCAGCGAACGGACGCGGGGTGCGGTTATACCTGCGCATACGCACCTGTGAAGACACCTCTGCGACGAGTATGGGTAGGTAGATGGATAGTGGCGACGAACCGGCATTGTGTCAAATGAATCGTCGCGAATTCGGCCGCATTTCTCTCAGCCGACTCGTCACCAACGTGACGGAATGCCAGCATTGGTCTTGTAGTGAAATCTGAAGGTCGGCCGGCCGATGGGAAATAATTATTTTCAATAGAGATTCATTACGTGCAACTTAAGCATACTTAATTACGGGGACAGCGCCAATCGATGTCAACAATATAAACAGATTTTTTATCGGATCACTCTACTTATTCTTGGTGCAAAATAAGTTTTCATTTATAGGTTACGTAAAACAAAATATCTGAAACGATGACGAAGGTAAAACATTATTACACAATGTTCTATTACAAATCAATTTTACTTAGTGTAAATAGAATCGACCCGAAACATTTCAAAACCTACTTATTATAATGCAGTGAAATATGAATGACAAAATTGAATAAATGTAACTGTTTTATTATTTTATATACCCATTTATTTTTACATAGATATTTTATTATATATATTTAATCAATGTAACATAGTAAAAATTAATGCACATTTTTTTTTTAAATACTTTATTAATATAATAATTTCGTATTTTGTCCTGGTACATTGGAATGATATACTGCAATAGATTTAGTGTGTTAAACTTTTTTAACATACGCAAATGGATACAGTAAACTTCACATAAAATACCTAAATCATGACATGAATAGGAAACAATGTACACTGTATCATAAAACTGAAATATGTTTTGGTATATTATATTAAATATGTAGTTGGTGATCGTTGATCTGAAGAAATAGCTATACCTATAATGAATTGGTTGTACATTTAACCACAATTTGAGAATTACCACCACACCTTACCACAGTCAGTTTCATAAATATTTAGAGAAATACTAGATGACCCCGCAAACGTTGTTGTGCCATATATTAAAATCGCTATTAAAAAATAGGGGTTGATGCTAGAAGGGTGAAAATTTAGGGTTGTATGTATTTTTAATACTACATTATAAATTTTCTCCAAAAAATTTAACATATATACATATATATACAGCATCACCGGACCATTTAACGTATGAGTTACATGATTACGCGTCGTAGTAGGGCAGAGTGGAGTCTGTTGAGACACGGGGTCTAGTGCGCCACCTATGATGTATCACATATGTATCACACACACGGTGCATGGTATCTACGAGCGGTTGACGTTAGAGGAAGCAGTGGGGTGCGGGACCTAAACTACTGTTGCTTTAATTGCCGGTCGCTATTTGGTTTAAGTGTACGAACGTAAAGTTGCAAGTTTGACCCTTAAAGTAAAAAAACATTGTTTCACTAAATTTTGGTTTAAAAATTCCGAATTTCATCATACGGCTATCAAGTAAGTATATTTTGATGTCAACATGGTTAATGTTAATGGCTTATATTTCAAAAATATATTATTTACAATTGATATTTAGTTATTTAACATATTAAATGTAATTCGGGGAAGGGGTCAATTGAGCCAAAATATTCGGGGTCAAATGAGCCATGTTCAAGTGACTCCTAATGATCCTAGTCTTTATTATTATATAATATTTCTACATTAAAAGTGTTTTTATTTTTTGTCCTTGAGTTTAGAGATACTAGGAGATTTTAATGCCCATCACACCGAGTGGCTCCGTTCTCGACTCGCTGACCATGCGGGGAGAACTGCTCACGAGTTTGCCCTAGCCTATGTATTCTCACAACTGGTTCATTCTCCAACGAGAATACCAGATATCGAGACCCATACGAGCTCATTACTTGACCTTCTGCTGACTACACGTCCGGACGGATATTCTGTGACCATGGAGGCACCACTTGATACTTCAGATCACCGCCCTATCCGATCTCAGGTACCGTGCACAAGTTCTGCCACATTCCGAACTCCTTGTCAACGTCATATGTGGCGAAAAAGCAACCGTGGTTTAATAGGTCATAAGAAGCCAGACAGGTTAAACACTGCTTATCAGGCTTGTACAACGGCTCGTTCCAACAGTGATGTTGGCGTATCTGATGCGAGGCGGAATTTAAATGCTGCATCTAAGTTTAGTAAGAGGATAATTGTTAGTGCCAAATTCTACTTCATCAGCAAAATTGGAAAGCGACTAGCACGACATCCTTCTGGCTATACTATTATATACCTATTGACTCAAATGACCCCGTTGGGTGGTTCAATAGACCCCGCCTGTGGGGTCTAATGAGCCATGTGACTTTTTTTTTTGTAAGAAACATTTAGTATAGTAAACAAAGAATTTTCCAAAGTTTTTTGATTTCAAAATGCGGTTAAATAATTAAACTACTGATTTAAGAATAATTCATTACTTATTTCTTCTTTGAATGGAACTTACACTGATTTGAATAAAATCCTGATCTAGTGACCCCGCTCTGCCCTACTTTCAATGCAAGGTTCTTCTTGCCATCACGGAGTCGTCATCTTGTTTGCCATTTTAATTACATGAGATATACAAAATTTCTTCATTGAAAACTTAATTAAATAAAATAATAAATAAATAATTTCTTTTTAGATACGCGTCGATGTTAATGTACAAAATCGTCAGCATGGGCACTACCTTCACTTATTTCTTTCACTAAACTGCCAATATGAAGGGTGCATATAGCAGAAAATTTATTTCTCTGCTACATTTCACTCTTCATATGATATGAAGGCCTGATACCCTAGTCCTTAGGAATGGCAACTCATCATCATTCCACATTTTTGTAAGTACACTTGTTTCAATTTTCATTTCGGTGAGCAGACGTCTGAATATTGGGACGCATACATATTATTTAGATACAGAATGGGAAAAACATTATAATAGGTTATTATATATTATTTTTGATAGCATAAGTCTAGAATGCTGTAAGTTTTTACCACGCACTACCACATTATAGAATCACCTTCCAGCACCTTCCAGCTTTCCGAAACGATATGATATTGAAACCTTAAAAAAAAGAGATTATTCTTTCTTAAAAGACCGGCGACGCACTTGCAATTTCCCTGGTGTTGCTTGGGTGTACATGGGCGGCGGTAATCACTTACCATCGAGTGAGCCGCAAGCTTGTTTACAGCCTATATAATAGAAGAAAAGGTGTAGGATGACCTCCACTTAAGGTACTTACGTAAGTAGAACTTACGAGTGAAAAACTTTGTAATGAATAAAAAAATTAAAAGGCACTACGACAGTAGCTTTAATTATATTACATATTAGGTAAAAATGTACATTAATATTTCTGCGCCTTGTAACCCGGCTCATCTGTATGTTGCGGTGCTTTACGCTTCTGTATTATATTTTGAATCTGTGGACAAAACATTACATTTATTATATATATATCTAAATATATATAACTCAAAGGTGACTGACGTAGTGATCTGTCAACGCACAGCCCAAACCACTGGAGTGATCGGGCTTAAATTTGGCATGCAGGTAGATATTACGACGTAGGCATACGCTAAGAAAGGATTTTGATTAATTCTACCTCCAAGGGGATAAAATAGGGGATGAAAGTTTGTATGAAACTTTGTCAATTTTAAACCGATCGGGCTGAGACTTTGCATGCATAAAGCTACTATGACGTAGGCTTCCCCTAAAAAAGAATTTTGATAAATTCCACCCCTAAGGGGATAAATTAACGCGAGCGAAGCCGCGGGCAAAAGCTAGTATATATATATATATATATATATATATAGCCATGTAATCTATAGTATATAAATGAAAACTGTTGTAAGTTTGTTCCCTATATCATCCCTAAACTATTGATCAAATTGTAATGAAACTTTGATAGAATATTCTGATACGCGAGAATTTTGCTCTGCAAAACAATATAAACAATAGATAAGTGTATGTTTTTCTTTGTGATATTTCGCAATATAAATAGTAAGGAACAATTAAAAAATAATTCGACATTATATAAGATAATCAATATCCTTTGACTTTATGTAGAATGCAGAAAAAGTCAGTGCACCTATTACGTCAAAAAATTTTTCATCGTAAAGAAATTAATAAAATTTATTACGTATGACACGGCGCCACCTTTTTTTTATGTATTTAGGACTAACAAACAGTAATACAATATTATATATACATACAATGTGTGATGAGACGAAAGATAAATGTATACCCAACGACGTTAATCACAGTTTACTTAAGACAATAATTATATAATCATGCAAATTTGTTTAGAGTAGTGGTGAATTTTATACAAAGTTACAAATATCGACTCAAAATGCAACTTATTTGTTAATATAAAGAAAGCGTAAAATGAAATAAAATAAAATAATAATAATAAATTAAAAAAAAAGGAATTACTAAGAATAAAAATTAACATATATTAACTTAAGTGGGTATGTGACAAAGTCTGACCAACCATCTTTTTAAATAATGATGGTCTAGTAGCAAATATATATATATATATTAGAGAACTTATTATTATATGCTTTAACAATTCTATTAATTGGTGACCGAGTACCAGAGTTTGTACGACATCTGTTAATAGCGAACAATTCCTGTTTTCTTGACGTTCTCATTTGTGCTCGCGATGGAACTCGCTAACTTATCTGGTTTGTCAAAGAAGTGCAATCATATTTATCATATTTATTTATTTTGTCTCAAATTAAGCTGAGTTTATAATATGGGTGCTGAAAACTGACACCTAAATATATTAGTATTTGTATTCTCACGAAGGCTCAATAGGCGTCCACAGATATAATGATGAATACGATAAATTGCAAGACCGCTTCGAAGATGGGTTGGAAGTTGAGGAAGAAATTTAATACAATATAAACACGACAGCGAAACGTAATGATTGCAAAAATAGAAGATATGATGAATACAAACACTGGCAATAGGCGAGGACCGCGACGAAGATTGATTGGAAGCTGAGGCAAAAATTTTATAATAATATAAAAAGCCTGTGTTTATATTATTATAAAATTTTTGCCTCACCTTCCAATCCATCTTCGTCACGGTCCTAAGACAAAAATTTTATAATAATATAAAAAAGCCTGTGTTTATATTATTATAAAATTTTTGCCTCAACTTCCAATCCATCTTCGTCGCGGAAATTTCAATTTTGACAAAATAATGTTGAATTAAGAACCTCTTTTTTAAATTGGCTTTGAACAACAACATTGTATACTGTACCTGCTGCCATTCTCTATCAAGTTCAGCTTTCTCGCTCTTGTCTTTCGTCTTCCTTGTCTTGCGGCCGTCTTGAGTCTTAACGCCGTACTGGAACGCCGCCTTTGGTAACGCCTCCTTGCTGCTCATGTACGCCGAGTACTCCTCTTGCGTATCGAAATCCCATCGACCTAAGGTGGAGTAAAACTTAATAAACTTAGTATTAGGTTAAACTGAAGTACAATACTATATACAAATATATTACTGCACTAGTAGTTCAAAGATAGCAGTACATAGCAATATATGTTTTCAACATAATTGTCATACCATTATAACGTTACCTATATGTCATTAAGATGATATTATTGATTGCTAAAATTTACAACAAATATATCTGCTCTAAAGTATGTGGTGTGAATATATATATATAATTTTTTTTTTTTATTTTAGTCTTTTATATTTTATATATAAACTCGATAAATTGGTTATTTTTATAGTCTTAAACAGATTAGAGAAAACCTATAAATCATATACACAATAATACATGACAAGATCCAACAAATTATAATAATGTCAAATTATAAGTATATAAAATTTTAATAAAATTTTAAATCACATGCAATGCTTATACTGCGTTTGAACAATTAAATCCCTCACCTATGGGGCCTTTCTTGTTGCCAGCATCCATCTTTGTGTAATCGACCTCATCGTCAGAATCATCAATTGCGTCATCCATTTCGCGAAGTCCAGGATAGCACTCAGCGTAGCCTTCTGGTTCAGCCGCCAATCGTGAGAGTAGCGCGGCTGATCGTTTGTCTCTTTCCTCCGCTGTCGGTACCGCACGTCGTATCACGGGGCCCGGACCTGTTGAAATTTATTTGTAATAAAAATAATATAGCCTTTCTTCCAAAGAAAGTTTATTTATATATTATAAAAAACTAGCAGCTTACAATCCAATACATTATACAGTTCATTTTTTAGATAAAGATAAAATATACATGTATAATATTCAGTGCGGAACCACCGATACTGTAATCGTTATTACATTTTCTATTAGTGATCTTTTTTTTTTTTAAATACAATTTTCCACAGACATATTCGTCCGTGTCTTTTTTAATTTACTTTAATATTATTATATTTATTTAATTTCCACTTTTGTACAACTCCAGCCGAGATGTTACAATTTGCCTAACAGTGGCACCGAGGCAGACCTTATCCGTCTGGCCCAGAACCACCGCTGGCCGGCCAGGTGAGTTGACAACATGCATTGTCACCTATCTTTATTTAGATTTACCAATATGCATATACAATTATATAAATCTTACACTACTACTAATTTCATAGTTTTCATTACATTGTGTTGTATTGTTACATTATGAATTCTTACATTGCATATACAATTATATGAAATCTTATTTTAACACTATTTTCAAAGTTCACTATTTGTTATAGTCCAGGTTTTGTTTAATTATTGATTGTTTAATTTCATAGTTCACTTTTTGTCGTAATTCAGTAATTTTTTTTTTCTTTTCCTTTTTTTCATTATACTTTTAGCGAACATGTTCCGGCCTTTCCAGTCCAAAGCGCCTCGCCGATGCATCAGCTGTTCCGGTTTTCTATGTGCTGATTATTTTAGCGCAATCAGCGCATCAACGATCGCCCTGTCTCTATTTTTAATCGCCATCTGCAGGGAGTACTCACGAATGTCTGAGTGAGTCGCGCCTTCGGCCTCTTGTATAAAACGAGCAACTGCGTCTTCTCGATTTCTCGTATAATATACGGAGTCGCCTGTGTGCCTGGTGATGGCTACCACGGCATGAGAGTAGCTGCCATGCACTTCCAAGGGTTTACTTCTAGTATTGATGATAATAACCCTCTCCGATGTCAGTCCCTGGGCCTCATGAATCGTCAGCACTTTAGACTCCTCGTCCATTCCATATCCCTCGGATATTAGCTTTGCTTTCTCCGCTTGGGTATGAACCAGGTATAGAGTCCTGCTTTGGTCCGATGGTATGACCTTGCTGTCGTATTCCATGAGCCTCAGCGACCTAGTCCGGAGGTTGGTCGAGTATATCACGTTGTATACTTCTCTCAGGGCATACGCTACGTCCAAGGGGTTTCTGTGAGTGCATAGTAACTCCCTAGTAATACCTGCTGATTTGTTAGGTCGCTCGTAGGTAATTTCAAATAGGTTATGCCTATCTATAAAGGGGAGTTGATTTACGTCGCCAATAAGCAGGACATCTTTTGCTTTGGCCATTTCTGCTGCTAGCACTATGGCCCCAAAGTGGTTCATAAGGGCTTCATCCACTAGTATGCGGGACACATTTGTATTTTCCCTTTTGCCGTTAACCAACAAGTCTATTAGAGATCAAATTCCATCGTTATTGTAGTCACGTTGCGACATGTGTTTCACCTCTGAACGAGTCATGATAAGGCAACGAATTGAGCTCGGATATAGCTTCAGATTTCCGCACTGAATATTTGTGAACTCACACATGCACATGGTAGCGGAATTGGATAAAATAATACAATAATCCATTAAGTAATGAAATGGACTTCCATAAAATAACACGTAATTCGATAAAATATATAAAACTTCTAAATTACAATACAAATACAAACTAGAAATTACAATGTACCTTCATCTTTTTCAGTTTCTATCGGCTTGTCGAAGTAACCAGTGCGGGGCCGTTCCTCGCGTCGGTCCGCGCGCCTGTCAGCTGCAACGTAATCTCCAATTTCGCCATATATTGAGTCATCAGCTCGGCCTTTCTCATTAGCTTTATCCTGTAGAATGATTTTTTTATTTTATTTATATTCTTTATTGCCCCAGATACAGAAAATAATTAAAAGAATAAATTATACAAAAGGAGGTCTTGTCAGACTACCTTTGGTTAGAGAATGTAAATAAAGATAATAAATACGGTAAATGATTTTAAAATGTTAATAATAATAATCATATTCTAGTTCCCGCATAGATGAAAAATAAAGATACAATTTTTACTATATTATTTTGTCTTCATTTATGGTCCCAGTGAGACTAAAAAAGGGACATATATTTGGAGTTGCGAATAATAGATGTAAAAAGGAATCGTAGAGGTGCGACTCTTTGCTAACGATTGTCGGTCAGGTATAGTAGTTATAAAAAACCAATTCACTTTTTCGTACGGACTGTTATCGAATATTATGTAAACAAAATGTTCTAGGGGAATGGGATTGTGTGGTCTAATGAACCCATTGCTAGCAATATACCCAGTCAGGTTGACCTCCACGCGGCCCCCTGGAAATCCTCATGATATGTTCCGGGTGAATTTATCACGATGGGCTCACTGACCTGAATTCACCCTTATCCTATCATACTCCACTGGCGCCTCGGCATTCCATTACCTTCAATTATAAAAAAATGTTATAGAAATTATTGAAATAAACAAATGAAGCAGTATACCTACTTACCTTGGTTTTTTTTAGTTTCCTATGTCTCCCATGCCGGAGATACGAGAATATCTGTGCAAGTTTGTCTAGGACATCATCATTAGCGCTGGACGCGGAGCTACGCTCGTCAGCCTCTGGGACGTCGGCTTTGCTGCGAGTCAACGTGGTTGGAATGTCACTGTCCGCTGCACCTTCCTCTTCCAGTTCTACAACGTAAGCCATACGCCCTGGCGCAAAGAGCTCGTTTCGTGTAACCTTCTTATTTCTAGAACAATTCAATTCTGATACAGGTGTGTCTAACTGAAAACACACTAATTGGTAAAAAGCTTTTTAAAATTACAAAATGACAAGAGAGAAGGAATGTTCTGACTATACAATTCATCATTCTATAATTAACAATCATTTTATTATATAAATTAATTAAAAAAATATGATCCTATCAATAAAACATTATTAATAAATAAATATAATGTATTGTATTTTATTCTTCAGGATGTCAATGCCTCATGCGTTGTACAACAGACCTGAGGATGTGTTTTGCGGTCTGTTCTACATTTACAGCATTAAGCAACAGTTGCTGTTTACCACTATGTGTCGTCATCTACCATCGTCTACTTTGCCATACCAATTATATAATCCTTATATTTAACTGGGGCTATTCGAAGGTGATGTGCGCCTACTAACAGTTACTAATTTAATAATAATAGACCAGGACAAGACAACATACTGATGAATAAAAATGTTTTATTTAAAAAAAAGACTGAATGGTAACTAGCTAGACCACCGAGGCCGTCGATGTCTTTAATCAGCTGATTTATAATCTGCATTTCAACTTTGTTGATATTGAAAAATTTTTTAATTAAAATGTCATACTTACTTTTGTTCCATAATCATGTTGTAAATATTCTTTCCCATTGGAGTTTTAAATTGCATTTCTTCATCCTAGAATGTATAATAATATAAATAACTGTGAAACATAATTGTGAAAGTGAGTTTGATGTTAGCAAAAAACATCATGAAATTTGTCATATACAGAATTTGAGATAAACATAGGCAACTTTTTATTCTATTCAAGTGGATATGTCACAGGTTAAGCCTAGTAATATAATTTAACCTCTATGGAATATTTCAGAATGCTGATGTCAGTATTATCCGCACATTCACGTTTTAGTTGCACAGAAGATTATGAATGAAATTCTATCAATTCAATCTGACTACATTTGTAACCGTATCTACAAGACTACAAGCAATATTATAGTAGATACTAGGGTTGACGGATAGGGAGGGTTGAGGGTAGGGATGATGGATAGATACACCGTCTATCGTCTACGTCGTCAATCCCACACACCAAAGATTTTTCCACACAGTAAAAAAAGGGGGGAGTTGACTATGTTACCAGACAAACAATAAAAAGATCATAGATACTAGATAGGATAACATTAGGTGCCTTTCTCTAGTTTATATTGAGTCCTTAAGCCTAATATTACACAAATTTACCTAATTATCATTTTTTTAATTTTATGCCCGTTTGTCTGTGCAATCATCTTAGAAACGGAATTTCCGATTTACGTTAGGCTTTCACCAATGTGTAGAGGTAAGTGTCGCATAGAATTTAATATTTTTTTTATCCCAAAGTAGTTTACAAATATAAAAATAATCTTATATATAAAATTCTCTTGTCACAGTTTTCGTTCCCATACTCCTCCGAAACGGCTTGACCGATTCTCATGAAATTTTATGAGCGTATTGAGTAGGTCTGAGAATCGGCCAACATCTATTTTTCATCCCCCTAAATGTTAGGGGTAGTCCACCCCTAAATTTTTTTTTTATTTTAAGGCAAAACAACGTTTGCCGAGACAGCTAGTAATATATAAACTTAAAACTATTGTTATTTAGAATACTACGGTACGAAATCGCGGGCTAAGCTAGTTCTTAGTATAATTAATTACTTACCACCACCACAACTTCTTTCTTCTCTTTAACAGGTTCAACAGGCACAGTAACTAGTCTCTCCATTTCCGCTTCTTGCTCTTGCTCTCGAGTTTGTATTTCAGAACGAACCTATCATTAACAATTCCATCAATATAACAGAAATTAATGTTTGTAAAGAATAATGTAAAACAAGTCATCTTCCTTTCTCTGTTCAGTAACTAAATAATACTTCAATTATTTCAATGAATATTCTGGTTTGAAAGAGGAATGAATAATAATAAGCCTGGACAAATCACACAGCTTGTATTATGGATACTTGACAAATGATAGTAAACACTTAAATACATTTATTACTTATTCTTAATATACATAGACATACAATTCTATTCATATATACAAATGTTTGTATACAAGACAAGGAATTCAACCTGAAATGATTATACCATTAGCAGCAAAGCACAGTGCTAAATCTTTAGACCACCAAGGCCTTTTAAGCAAGTACGTTAGATAAATAACTGTACAGAGTACCTTGGTACTCAAATCTGGTAATTCATAAGAGATCCCATGAGCATCAAAGTGTATTTTGTGATATGTGAGTGTCATATGTGCACTCATTCTTGCTATATTTTTCACAGATGGTGACATTCTATCAGGTATTTCATTTCAGTTACATAAAAAACCTTTTCTTGTACATTACAGATTTACCTTTTGTAAAAGGGCGTAATCAAGACCTTTGACCAAGTGAGTGTGTTCCATGTCACCACCAAGATATTTTGATTCCTGAAAAATAAATAGCATTTAAACATGTACAAATGCATAATGCATGGATGAGAACATTTATCTGTAACAGTAAGAATATCATACCTGAATTAATTGTCTTCTCCTTTCTTTAGCATCCATTCCCGATTTTAAATCTGGTGCAACAGCTCTAAAAAGCAAATTTATTTTTTAGAGGCATAAAATATTAAATCTAGTCTTGTATACAAATTTATTATTAATAATAGTACTAGTAATATTTTATACAAAAATTACTATAATTGCCAAGTATTCGTGCACATAAAACTCTCTTTACCATTTTTCTAAAGTATGTTTTTTTTTTTCCTCTTTTCTTATCTGCAATCAGTCCCGGAACTATGAGCAGATTTTTTGGGTGTGGGATCTAAGAATGGAGTGTCCACCCCAGCGGGCGAATCTACTCCTTAAGCATACTGCAAACATTACACAATGTCGCTTCTTTTTAGTCGCTTGGGGTAAAGTATTTGTAGTAATTGAGCAACCAGTTGATTCGGGTGGTCACATAGTCGCTTTTTATATTTTTCTTTACAATTGAGGATCTCCTCCTTTACTGTCAGTACGCCAAGTTCCTTGTGAATTTCGTTGTTGGTGATGTACCAAGGGACACCCGATATTGTTCTCAGTATAATATTTTGGGCCCTTTGAATGATGTTAACATTTGACTTTGACGCACTTCCCCAAAGTTGTAAGCCGTATGTCCATACAGGTGTTAGAATGGACTTATAAATCAGTAGTTTATTGTCAATAGACAGTTTTGTATTTCGACCCATAAGCCAGTAAAGGTTTTTAAAGCGAATCATTAAGCATTCTCTCTTGGTTTTAATATGTTCCCTCCAATTCAAACGGCGGTCAAGGTGTACTCCAAGATACTTAACATTGTCCTTATGTGGTAGAGCATAATCTCCCAATCGTACTGGTGGACAATTTCCACGTTTTAGAGTAAAGGTGACTTGGACAGATTTTGTAATGCTGGTCTTGACTTTGCAACCACCTATAGATGTGATCCAGGCCATTCTGGAGAATGGTTGAAGCCATGTCAGGTGTTTTATTACTAGCTAGCAATGCAGTATCATCCGCAAAGGTGGCTATAGTGACACCTTTCACTTCCGGAATGTCCGCTGTATATATGAGGTATAACATAGGACCGAGAATTGACCCCTGTGGCACTCCAGCTTTGATCTCATAGAATGATGATGTTTCTCCAGATTCCCTTACCTGAAAGAGTCTTTGTAGCAGGTAAGATCTTAGTAGGAGGTAATAACTGTGTGACAGGTTATTCCTGATTTTATATAGTAGTCCCTCATGCCATACCCGATCGAACGCTTGCTGTATGTCAAGAAAAGCAGCCGAACAGTATTCTTTGTTTTCGAGAGTCATTCGAATTCTATCACAGACCCTGTGAACCTGTTCCACAGTTGAGTGTTGATGCCGGAAACCGAACTGGTGATCAGGAATAATTTTTTTTTGTGCAAGTTGAGAATGGATTCTTCGCAGAAGTATCTTCTCAAAAAGCTTGGACAAGATTGGAAGGAGGCTAATGGGTCTATAGGATGCGGCTTCCTGAGAAGGTTTTCCAGGTTTCTGTATCATGGTGATGGTTGAGACCTTCCATAGCTCTGGAAAGTGCTGAACTCTTATAATACCATTAAACAGAATGGTTAGGAAAATTACAGCTTTTCTTGGCAATTGGCATAGCACTTCTTTGGTGAGAAGATCAAAACCAGGAGCCTTTTTATCTTTAAGAGACTTTATGGTCCTCCAAAGCTCTCGTACTGTTACAGGCATTGGTGGGAGGTCTAATTATAGATCTTGGTTTAGGACTGAATTCACATTGTTCTCAAATCCCTCATTAGGTACGTGATTCGGGATGAATACCTCAGATAGGTGTTTGGCAAAAATATTGGCCTTTTCTTTACTTGTTCTAGCCCAGATATTGTTTTCTGTTCTTATGGGAGGCTTGGTTTGTTGTGGTCTTTTAAATGATTTCGTATATTTCCATAATGAGTAATCTGTAGAAACAGTAGGCGTCAGTGCCTCTAATTTTCGCTGTAATGTGTAGTTTTTGTGCTCCTGTATCATTGTTCTTAGTTCCACAATAGCTCTATTTAAAATAGTTTTATCTTCAGCACATCTGCTTCGATGCCACTGAATGAGTCCCAGTCTGTATTTTTATTACCGATGATTTCTGGTCTTTCCCGAACTATTATGTTAACACAGTTAAGATAACAGGGCTGTGATCAGATGAACTGTCCAGACATGTCTCCGCTTTAAAGTAATGCTGAGACATTCCTTTAATCATAAAAAAATCCAGCAAGTCCGGCATTTTGTGTGGATCAGATGGCCAGTATGTTGGTTCCCCGGTAGAGATGGATGTCAAGTTATTTTTTTCTGCACTTGATTTAAGTTGTCTACCTCTTGTTGTAGTTAATCGAGAGCCCCAGTATGTGTGTTTTGCATTATAATCACCTCCTGCAATAAATCTTCCTCCAAGAGTGCTGTAGAATTGGGAGAAGCTCTCCTCGTCTATTTTATGTCTGGGTGGGCAGTATATAGAAGAGATGTTAAAGAAGCCATGTTTGTCTTCCACTGCTACTGTAGTTGCCTGAATATGTTCAGTTTCGTAATTTGCCATTACATGGTGTTTAATAGTTTCTCGGATTACATTTGCAGTTCCACCATGAGAGGTACCATCTGGGTGGTTAGTCAAGTAAGTGCAGTAGCCTTTAAATTTTACATTGCTAAAGTTTGTGCAGTGAGTCTCAGTGATCAGAATTATGTCAAGCTTGTATTCGTTCTGCAGTATAGCTACGTCGTGTTGGTTTGGAGTCAATCCATTGATGTTCCAGGTTGCTAATCGAAAGACAGTCACTTTGTGAGTTTTTCGACAAGTTTGGCTATGAGCCCCATAAGGGTAGTCATTTGTTGTAAGATTATTTCAAATCGCTCGGCTTGTTTTACGAGTAATTGCTGTATAGTATCATTTATGTGTTTTGGAGGAGAGGATTTAAAAGATTCAGTTATATGTTGGATATCAGTCTTCAATGTATCTGCATAAGTTCGTTTAGTATAGTCAACATTAGCTTGTGGTAGTTTGTGGTGGTAAAGTATGTTAATGGAATATTGTGACCTTATATACTAATGGTGTATGCTGACAAATCTCAATATGATGAGACAAGAAAATGACAAGTTGGGCATAGGGTCCCACTAGGGCTAAGTGACCCACTTAGTTCATAGTGATAAAATCACCAGATATTCACCTGCTGGCTTCCAGGGGGAACTATGTGGAGGTTGACCTAACCTAAGTCAATGTAAATAGTAATTTAATAATTATCGCCACCATTCCTAACAATGACCGTGTCAGATAGATCTCAATATGAAATACCTCCCTGGAAATCAAGTTTAATTACTGATGAATTCAGTGAGATGAGATTTAGGTCAGATCTGTTAGCCCATTATGGCTAACAGATCTGACCTAAATCTCATCTCACCATCCTCCACTGGTGCCTTAGAAGGATACCATTCACTTATCATTTATTAATTAGGGAAATATATTTACACTACATTATGTGAAGAATGTAATTTAATAGTCTAACCTGTATGCACTGCTAGTGTTACTAGTAGGATCAGCAGGGCCTAACTCATTTAGACCATCTCGTCTCTCTCTAGCTCTGTCTCTATACTTTTCAGCCAATTCAGCAAGTTTATTGTCTTCCTGTTTTTTTAAGGCAGCATAATAAGATTTCTTTTTTCTTCGTAACTCACTTTTGTTTTCTGATGGTGGAGGCATTGACCTGTAACGGAGTGATACAAGCATATTAGCATTTGATCAATATAACAATGTATTGTTGCATTACACACTGAGATAAGAAATAATAATGATAACCCAGGATAATTCCCACAGCACCATAAAATCCATCCACACCAGCATCTATTGAAGGAATTGTACATTGTTTTTGTAGTTCTTACTCTAGAATAACCACCTGAATAGGTTCATGTTCCTAACTCCTATAGTAAAAGAAGTATTGCTTGAGCAATATAATAGCATATATACTACTACATCAATACTGGAACTGGACTGGGGAAAATAAATAAACCTGACATATGCAAAAGTGTTCTAGAAGAACTTATTATTTTAATTTATTTTAGTTTTATTATATCACAAGTTATACCCAGAGTTGGCCATCGCCTCCCGAACAGAACCGACAGGATGAGCGCCTCCGGACGGAGTCGCCCGTGGAGTCATCAATAGCTTTCTGAAGTCTTCATTTGTAAGCCTTTGAGAGGCTGGAGTATCCTCAACACTTCTGTGTTCCTCCATGATGTATTCAAGTAAAAGTAATACAGGCCAAACCTAGTTATTCTGTAAGTATTTGATTTAAAACTACTTTAATCAACGCCTGCAAAGGAAGAGAAAAGTAGGAGCGCTATCATAAACATAAATTATAATTATAAAAAATACCATTTAAAAGTAATTCATATATTATTATTTACAGCTATTTGAGTAAGAGTAAGAGTAAGACGTAATAAACTCTTTAAAACATTACTATAATTAATCATATGTACTTTTAACATAAAATTAACGAAAACTGAGAGCAAAGAATATACTACAGAGAGTAAGTAATAAATACTCTGTGGTAGTTTTTTTTAAGATTGTTACGGCCCTGGAATCTTCATTTAATCAAATTTGCAAGATTACTTGCTTTCATACAAATTTAAACTTTGTTATAAATCTGCGAAATTAAGCAAAATAAGAAATAAAGTATCTACTTTCTCATGCGAATTTGCTCCAGCCGTCCCGAATTCGGGGGCAATCCTCGCTAGCCCCATCATTATCGGGACAAAGGTCTAGTTTCTAGAGTTATAAGACGTAAAAATGCGTCTACAACACATAGTCACATAATTCAGGTATTGCGAGTGTTAATTTGATTAATGCTTAAAAACTTATAATTATACAAGCGTTAAAAAACGTATCAGTAATTCAATTTCTGAAAGTAAAACTAATATGCTATAAATAAAAACTCATATCTAGCTGTACCTTAGTGATGCTAATACTTATGCTATACATGACAAAGGATTATTAAATAAAGACAAAATAAACAAAATAATTCTTTATTCTTAAAAATGCTTTTCGTATTGTATTGATGATATTGTTGTTTTTCCTCAAACAGTAAAATATAGGAAAATTAAATGTAAGATATTTTAATGCTAGGCCATTTAAATCTATGATAATCAAAGGAGCTACACAACGGTCCATTTTGATGCATTGCAAAATTCGTAAACACAAGGCAGCAAGCCTTGGCAAATGACAAAGTGAATCTATCAAAAGAAATTCAATATCAAAATGGTCAGTACATAAATTGTTTTGTAGTGAACAAGAGTACCAACAATACAACCACATGGTCAAAAATCTTCTTAGAAAAATGTACATAAATTTTTTGTGCTTAGTTAATAATTATATAGCATTATACATAATTGTTTACCAGAGCGAACCAATTTTAAGTAATCATACATAAAAATTGATAAAAAAAAATAATTATTTTTTAATGTAGACATTATATGATAAAATATAAAAATCCACATACTTTAAGAAATACCTTAAAAATTACCTATATAGATCTATTTATAATTATATATAATATATAATAACAATGGTTAATAGATTTTCGTTCACCAGTGGATGTCTTCCAGGCTGAAATGATGATGATGATGATGAATAATTTTTTGTAGGATAATATATACTTACAAATAGGTATAATAAAATTTATATGATCAAAGAAAAATAGATGTTACAAGAAGATTATTAACCAAATATAGCATGGAAAGTAGTTCCCTTAAATCCCACATTACCTGTGGGTTCATCTTGGAATGTTATGTACATCCTGAAAGTAAAATTATAATTTAAGTAAATTGGTAAATACATACCTAAAATCAAATAGTGTATCAATCTATAATCACTGATTCTTGCTAATTGAAACTTTTGCATAACATTGTCATTTTAATTTAATAGATGCAAAACGAAATTCACTACTTGGCCTGAAATTCACAAACTTGATGAAATATTTCACTCAATAGAAAGTATATTTCAGGTTTTGAAAATTGTGCACCAAATCATATATTTATAATTCATATGTTTATATTATATGAGCATAATTGTTGCAGTAATGTTAATTGAAAGAAAAGTTCCAAATAATATTATTAAATATATGCCAGTACTGACAGTGATGCACAGACACATCTTTAGAGACACCTATGTCCAGTAGTGGATTGTTATGGCATTAGGTTATAAATAATTACCTATCTGAAGTAACACCTAATTCCTTTTCAACCAATTCAAACAGAACTTTAGCATGTTTTTTGTTTTGTTCCACTCCAAGTGCCCCAATTGACATTAGATTAGCAATTGCACAAGGTTCTGTACTGCCTCCAAAACTCATGAGTACATCTGGGACAACACTCACCACACAGTACTGGAAAAAGAATATAATAAAAATAAATAAATAATTTACTTTATTAAAAAGCATAGTAAAGAGAGTCGACTGTAGTATTATATTTAAAATCATAGTGGTACAACACCAGTAGTAAATGATTGGCTGGGAGTAAAATAAAGTAAGTTTTGTTGAGTAGAAATCAACTAATCCGGTTTTGAAGAACTACTACGAAATGCTACAACTCCTAACTGGTATGCTGCTGAATTCATGCAAGACAATAGGACAAAATGACATGAAGTCAGGTCAGTTAATCAATCATAGTAAATTCGTCAGAAACTAACCAAAATGGTTTTCATTTGGAACCATGGTACATTGCTAACAATGAGGCCACTAAAACCCTATTACAAACAGTCCTCTTGTCCCAGCAGTTATCATTTGGTAAACAACCAATTGAAATACAGTATGAATCATATAATAAAGTCTTTACATATCATGTCATCCTCCATTTTCTATGCCTATATCTATAGGCATAGAAAACAGAGGATGACTTTTTAATTACACATCAGATTTTAATACAGTTTTCAGCACTAGACAGTGATTGAAGAAGAAGTTTCGTATGTATAATACATGAATATTTGGGAACAGGAAACCCGATATTAATTTTTTTTTAATGCACGCCGCCAAGCCGGCTCCGGTCGCTAGTTAATAGAAAGTAGAATAGTAATAAAAATCAATAACCTGTTCTGGTTTCCCAAGTGCTTTAGCTAATACCGGGATAGCTTTTGAAACAAAGTCCAGAGGAACTTTGTTTCGGGGTAAATTGGTTTCTATTCTGAAGTGCGGCATTTTATAACAGTTGTTTTGCAGATATCAATAAGATCACGAACAATTGTAAACGTATAACGATATAAAAGTATGACTATTAGAATTCTTTTACAAACTAAATAACTAGATGATTATGAATATTTATACTTGAAAATTCAAAGTTCACTGTGTTAGACTTACAGAAAACTAATCAGATTAGTGCTCTGTGGACTTGACACTTGGCGGACAAATCCACTTGTACGTACTGAGCTATTTAAGAGGCCTATTACAAAATGATGCCGCTCAACTTTAGGTTTAATCGCATGGATTTACGCACACACACAGTAATACACGCACACAGACGCAAATAAACGTGTAGCTCAATCGGTGTGGATTTAGTATGAACCATTTTGATCCTTGTAATATTTTAATTAATAATGTGATATGTTTCTACTTAACTGAGTAACATAAACTACTTATTGGATTTTTTTAAATAACGTGATTTATCTTAATTATCAAAGTGCTAATAATGACCATATTTTTTTATTATATTATTCCTAGAGGGTTGATGTCAGGATGCTGGCCGATTGTACAACTAAAAGCCAAAACCTTAAGTAGAGAAAAAAAGGCGGGAAACATAGAATTTGGTGGTCGTGTTTTTTTGATAAGATTTAAATAAAAATTTAATAGTGATCAGTTAAGTTAGATATTGTAGATATTTTCACTCTTTTATATATATTTTATTTGTTTATTAGTGTAATTATAGTAGCTGTAACATAGGTAAGTCATAATTATTTAATTTATATATGGACCCTCCTGAGGATCCTGGGGGCACAGGCCCTCAGGTGGGCCTCCACGTAACTATTAGCAATAATGAAAATGATTCCATGGATACTGATTGCTCTTTTACCCTAGTGGAGAATTTGAAAGTTAAACGAAAACGTATATCTGCTACTCATGTGTGTAAACACTGTAACAAAAAGCGAAGAAGAAATCGCGGTTCTAAAGGAAACTCTAAAAATCAAGAGAACACTTGTCAATGCGCTGTTGTAAATGAAGGTGATCAACCTTCTTCTAATACATGTACAAATATAGAGGATAATGAGAATAAGGTCGAGCAACCTCCTGTGACATGTGCAAATAATGAGGATAAAATGGATAATGCTGGTTCAAGTCAGTTACGACCATCAGTAGCTAGGCTTTATTATCAATTAGGTGATGCGGCACCTTATGTAGTCCATATCCAAAAGGAGCAGTCTTCGCCGGATGACAGAATTACTGTACACCCAATTGCCTTTGGTCGCCTCTTAAAAAATTGTGCTTATAAAAATGTTATTAATGGTAGTTTGAAAAAAATTGGTAGGAATAGACTAGCTTTGTCATTCTCTAATTTTATTGATGCCAATTCCTTCATTGACTGTGACCGTTTAAAACAACAGAACTATAAAGCATTTGTTCCCTCTTTTAATCTTACTAGAATAGGAATTATTAAGGGTGTTCCCTCAAACTGGTCCCCTGAAGAGGTAATAAGTAACATTTCTGTCCCACTTGGCTGTGGAGAAATACTTAAAGTTAGAAGGATTAGACGTAAGAATATTATTAATGGTGAATCCATATTTGTTGACACAGAAACTGTTATTATAACTTTTGATGGTCAAATACTTCCTAAACGTGTATTTATGTGTTACAACTCATTACCTGTAGATATTTACATATACCCAACAATACAATGTTATAACTGTTGTCGATATGGTCATGTTAAGGATCAATGCCGTTCTACACCACGGTGCTATAAATGTAGTAAAGGACATTCAGGTGAAAACTGTACGCAGCAAGAAGACTTCTGCTGCTGTCTATGTCTTGGTGATCATCAAGCTAACAGTAAAAACTGCCCGGAACTATGGAGACAAAAAGCAATAAAAGAAACTATGGCTAAAAGCTGTATATCTTATGCAGAAGCCAGCAAATTGCATGGTCCTGTAACAAAATCATATGCTGACACAGTTAAAACTAATTCTTCTATCATAACTGCGGAACATTTAAATAATACTAAACCCCAAAATACTCTATCTTCTAATATAATCAATAGATCATATAAAAAAACCATTGTACAAAAACCCCGTCAATCTCCAAAATTATCACATGGTTATGATGTAAACATGCATAAGCAATTAATAAAAGATTATAATCCTCCTACTCCTGCAGATGGCTGCGGTTATAAATCTGTAGCTGATCAGAATTTACCAAATCAATTTACAGAATTAATCATGGCTTTAATTAAATTGCTGACTGAGTCTAATTCTATTGTACCGTCCAACGCTGCTTCTCTATTTAGTGCTCTTCTTCAAATCTTCAACAACAATGGCTCCATTGGCCAAAGTTCTCCAGTGGAACTGTCGTAGTATTATTAATAAAAAAAAATAATTATTTCATATTTTAAATAAAAATAAACCTTTTATTTGTGCCCTTCAGGAGACATGGCTGAAACCCATATCTACTTTTAAGATACCGGGTTATGCTTGTCTCAGAGAAGATAGGACAGATGGGTATGGTGGTGTCGCTATACTCGTCCGACATTTAGTTCCTTATTCACATATACCTATTGATCATAGCAGTAATTTTTCCATATTAGCTGTCCAAGTTAACAACATTTGTTATGTATCTTTATATATACCTCATCCATCAACTTCTATTTTTAATGAACTTAATAATATTCTTTCTGCCCTTCCCAAACCTTTATTAATACTAGGAGATTTAAATTCACAACATCAGTCCTGGGGTAGTACAACAAACAATTCATATGGCCACCAAGTTTTAGAAATATTAGATACCCTTAACCTGTGTGTATTAAATACTGGCCAACCTACACGTCGTACTCCACCTAATGAAGGAAATAGTGTTCCTGATCTTTCCATCTGTTCACCTACTCTTGCAACATCCCTTACTTGGTGCCCCTTGTCACTGTCATTTGGGAGTGATCATTTCCCTCTTATTATTTCTTTTCCTTTTATTGATAAACCACTACCAAAATATGAACCAAGGATGAAATATAAGCTAAATAATGCTGATTGGGATACTTTCAATAACGTCATTGCATCTAAAATCTCATCACTGCCTATTATTACTCAAGGCACTGAAACCATTTGCTCTAATGCATTCACTGAAGTATTAATACAGGCTGCTAATGAAGTTTTTCCTAAAAAATCTTCTTCTAAGAATACAATACCTTCACCACCATGGTGGGACAGTGAATGTACTGAAGCTATTAGGAAAAGAAAAAATGCTGAAAAACAATACAATTTACACTCTACATTGGAAAACTTTGATATCTTCTGTAATATATCCAGAACTACCCGTAAATTGTTAAGAGATAAGAAATTAACAGGTTGGAAGAAATTCTGTTCATCTATTTCTCCCAATGTGAATGCATCTATAGTCTGGAATAATATAAGAAGATTTAGAAGTGCATTCCACGATTCTAAATCAAATGTACTTCCTCCTCATATGGTTGAATGTTTCCTAGACAAGTTAGCCCCTCCCTCAGTTCCTGAAAAAGTTTTGTTGGATAAAGTTGTAATTACCTCTGATATAGACAATTTCTCTAAATTAAATGCTCCATTTTCGTTACCAGAGCTTAAAGGAGTACTTACAAAAGTTAAAGATTCTGCACCTGGAGAAGATGGAATACCATATTCTTTTTTTTCACACTTAGATAGTACATCTCTCTCCTATTTCTTAGATATCATTAACTCAATTATGATATCTGGTAATATTCCTGCTTTATGGAAGACTCAAAATATAATCCCCATTCTAAAACCTGACAAAACTCCATCTGACATTGCTTCCTACCGTCCTTTAGCGCTATCTTCAGTTCTGCTTAAACTGTCAGAACATCTGATCAAAAACCGTCTGGAATGGTATATTGAAAGTAACCACTATTTATCAGATAGTCAATATGGCTTTAGAAGAGGGAAATGTACTCTTGATAGTTTAAGTTTGTTTATAACGGATATTCGTTTAGCCTTTTCCAGAAATGACTCTGTACTTGCAACCTTTTTAGACATAGAATCTGCTTATGATAATGTTTCTTTGCCAATACTTAAGCAGAAACTTGATATATTACATATTCCAGTTAGACTGTCAACTTTTATAATTAATATTCTTACTGAAAGAACTATTATTATAAATTCTGATGACACTGGAATCTCATCTAGAGTAGTATGGAAAGGACTCCCACAAGGTTCAGTTCTTAGCCCCTTATTATACAACCTATACACTTATGATTTAGAAAAGGCTGTTTTAAGTAATATGAATAATAATGTTTTTATTTTACAATATGCAGACGATCTGCTTTTTTATGCCATAGACAAATCTGTTCAAAAATGCTGTTTGAATTTGACATCTGCATTAAAATATCTAAAGCTTTGGTTTGATCAGAATGCATTGCAGTTGTCACTTAACAAAAGCAATGCAGTTTTGTTCTCCAGAATGCGTATGCCTCCTCCTATTTCTATATATTATAATAATTGTCTTTTACCTGTAAAAAGTCAAAGCAAATTTTTAGGAGTAATACTAGATTCAAAACTAAGTGGACTTCCCCATTGCGAATACATTACTTTAAGATGTGAACGATTATTAAATATTCTTCGATGTTTGTCTGGAACTTGGTGGGGCGCTCATCCGTGTTCACTCAAACTGTTATATAACGCCATTATTAGAAGTATATTGGATTACGGCACATTTCTACTAGAGCCGGGTAGCTCAGCTGGTCTTAAAAAACTGGATGGCATACAATCAAAGGCTTTACGAATTGTAACTAGGGCTATGCGATCAAGCCCTATAAATGCATTGCAAGTGGAATGCTCAGATCCGCCATTGTATTTAAGACGTCAATATCTTTCTGATAAATTTTTATTTCGCAGTGCACAATGTACTACTCATCCCCTATTTAGTAAATTAAAATTATTATCTAATTATATTAATAATTCTGAATACTGGCGCCATAAATCTATTCCTTGTATTATAAAGAGCTTCCAGAAATTTTCATCTCTTACATCTCCTACTCATCGTTCACAATATTTTCCCATCTTCTGTACGAATTATGAATCATTAATTCTTGAACCAAGTATAATTTTTGACCTTAATATTCATAAAAATCACGACTCAAATATAGAATTTAACTCAACTGTAGACAAGAAATGGCGGAATTGGCACCGAATTTTTGTGATGCATC